CTTGTGAAGAGCCAGGATTCGGAGACAGAATTCTGTCACACGTGTCATTCATTTCCAGGTCCCGAGACACAGCAGAGCACACTGGGTCAGATCCCAGCTGGCTCTCTGGCTCTGCCACTCACCAGCAAGGACACTCCCCTGCCTCTGCCTCAGTTTCCTCAACTGTCAAAAAGAAAAAAAAATAACAACTCTGTTGCAGGGTTGTTGTGACAATGAAATGAGGCCGTTAAAGAATGAGAAACTCTGATAATGCAGTGCCTGGCATGAAGGCAGCACACAATGAATTGGTAGCTCTTATTATAATAACTAATTGCTATAGTGCTGATTTGAAAGATAAATATAGAATTGAGACTCTGGCAGACAGCAGGAGGACCAGGCGGAGAGAGGGAGAACTTTCTGAGGCTGATGATTTGATTGTTCCACCAAGTCCTCTTAAAACATCCATTTATTTTCATTGCAAGTTGAATATTGTCCACGAGCATCATTGCCATGAATAATTAAGGAACAGTGGCGTCCACTGACATTCTTACAGCACTTGTGTGATTAGCTAAATATATCTTCCTGTAACCCTGGCACACAAAACCTAACCCCCAACATCACGAAACTAAGTTTGGCAGGCTGATATAATTATACAAAATAATAAACGGGAAAGTAATACATTTTTGCTTGTTGGGGAAAAAATAGTGTCCCCATTGGCTATTTTCTTTTCTTCTTTTTGTGAAGTTTGTTACTGGGTATAAGGTTCAATAGTGCACAAAGCATAAGTGAATGGCTTGATGAATTTTCACAGGGTGGACATACCCTTATAGACAACAGCCAAGTCCAAAAAAAAAGCATCATGAGGACTCCATAGCCTCGCATGTCCCTTCCTGGGTGATGGTTTCTTTTTCCTTTTCTTCTCCTCCTCTTCCTCCTCGAGATGTAATTTACAGCCATAAAGTATATCTATTTTAAATGTACAATTTAATGAATTTCTCTAAATTCATACAGCTATTCAACCATCACTACCATCCAGTTTTAGAATGCTTCCATCCTCCAAGAAGTTCCCTAACTCAGAGATCTATCCCAACTGGTTTAATTCCATCTCAGTGGTCCCATTAAGCTCGAGCATGCAACCCCGTTCTGCCCTTGGGAATGTGGGAATATATTTGATAGGTTTCTGGGGAAGGTTTCCTGGCTCCTAAGAAGAGGACATTGGAATAAAAGGCCCCTATTCTACCTCTGGGTATTGCTGGGTCTAGACATGATGCATTTACCTGCTGCTCCAGTTAACCTGTGACCAGAGGGGGCTAAGAGCTGAAAAAGCTGGGTCCTACACCCCCAGTGGCTCAACCCTCACACCTTTTATTTGTATTTTCTTATTTATGCCGGTTTGGGTCAGCATTTTCTCTTCCTATGGATACATCATCTTTAAGCTGCACTGGTAAACGTAAATTCTAAAATTTATCCAGAGGGTTTTCAGAAGGACCTTAAGTTCAAAGTTCAAACTAATAGAATACTCTGATGAGGTTGAATTAATTAACAGATCAGAAATAGACTTTGAGCGCCTGCTGCATATAATATCCCTGAGGTGGGTTTTCTCATTGCTCTCATTTTATGAATATTTGTGGAGACTCAGAGGGGAATGTGGCCAGCCTAGGTCACACAAACAGCAAGTGTCAGAGTCAGGATTTAAAAGCCAAGTCTGACTGTCTTGCCCAAATCTTGCAGGACATCACATCCTGAATGGGAATGGTTGGGAGCTGGGCAGCCAAGGAAAGGAAAGAATTGAAGAGGTCTCAGTAGGCTTTTTTTTTTTTTTTTTTTTTTTTTTTAAGTAGAATAGAAGGGTTTTTATTTTTTTAGAGAAGACAATTCCATCAGCAGCCTCTCACTTCTGCCACATCTGAACCAGACACAAAAATTTTTGAAAATGCAAAACTGTTTGTGAGATGTACAATCAATCAGTCAACAAATTTTTATTGAACTCATAATCTGGGCCTGGCAGCTAGAGTAACTGCTGGGTGCTGCTTTATTGTCCCACTGAGAGAAAGGCCAGATCTTAGTACAAACTCCAGAAAAACAGAGTTTTTAAATGCTACTCTAGGCTTACAGGTATGGCTCTTTATTTATTTTCTTAAGCATCTAAAATGCAATTGAACACTGCTTATAAATAAAGGTTTGGACTCTAGCCCTGGCCCGTGTGGCTCAGTTGGTTGGGCATCATACTGTGCACGGGAAGGTTGCCAGTTGGAGGCTCAGTTCCTGGTCAGGGCAAACACCTAGGTTGCAGGCTCCATCCTCAGTAATGGGCATGCAGAAGGCAGCCAATCCATGGTTCTCACATCGATGCTTCTCTCTTTCCCCCTCTTCCTTTCTCTCTCTCCCTAAAAATATCAATAAAAAAATTTTTTTTTTTTTTTTAATTTGGACTCTTGTGTCAGGAAGACAGAGATTCAAATCCTAGCTTCCCCACTCCTTGCTGTGTGACCTTGAGCAAGTTTCTTATCTCACTGAGCCTCAGTGTTTGGTCTGTAGAATGGAGATAATAATAGTGCTTAGTTGAAAAGGCAGTGTGCTGATTGAATCACACTCAATAGAATTGGGGAATATTACTTTTTATCATTTTATCATTCCTTTGGGAAAAGTAGGTGCTTATGACCTCCCATGCATAAACACAGAGCTGGAGTTAAAGGGAGATGTGGCTGGGGACTGGTTATGTCAGAGGGTGTTAATCCACACTGTTGGCTCTTCCTGTATTTTCCTTTCTCCCTTCCTCCATTCAAGAAGGAAGCTGATTTGGGAATGCTATCTGTAATCTAGAAACCTGTGGAAGGTGGTGCAGTCAGCCACTGGGACCACCTCAGAAAGATTCCCGATGCCCCACACGGCAGGAAAGCAGCAGAGGACCCTGGAGCGAAGGGGTCACTTGGGCAGGACAACCATGTGACTGACGATCCAGAGCTAGAATCATCCCCTCTCACCCTGGCTTTGCTTAACCCTCAGACTGTGCGATACTCGGGGTGTGTGTGTGTGTGTGTGTGTGTGCGCGCTCGCGCGCGCTGCTGAGGAGCAGGAGTGTGTGCCCAGGGGCCACTAGAGGATTTAACCAGCTGAACAGGGCCAAGGCCTGTGCTCAGAGTGGACTTTGGTGAGAAAGCTTTATTTCTTGTCCTCCTGCCTCGTAGACTGCGACTCACACCGGCTATGGCAAGACTTCAAAGCTGCTTGTTCCTAGGAGACTGAGGTGGATACAGGAGCACAGATTCCAGCAAGAACAGAAGAGAAGGTAAACCTATGGCTGCCAGCCCAGGCCCATCACGGGAGGAGAGCAGGCTGGTGGCAATCGTCCAGAGGCCTTTGGTCTGGGCTTGGGCACAAACAAGGAAGCAAGTGAGGGAGAGGAGAAACAGATGAGCACACCGGCAGGAAACTACCCCCATTCACAGCCGTTCCCACCCAGTTCTTAGTAAATCCAGAGACTGGTGTTTGCGGCTGGGGTTTAGCAATTAAAACTGTTACACCGCAACACCTTCCTCCTCTAAAGTGGTTAGGGCATGGGGCTTGTGAATGCGTGGATTTGACAGCGCAGCCTTCTGTGCAAACATCTGGCTCTCTGCCCCTCGGGTGGAGGGTGAGACACCAGCTCAGGTTTCATTATTGGCCCCCCGAAGCCTGCTGTGAAACCTCAGTTCTTTCTCAGAAGCAAATTGAACGACCAAATCTCTTTACATCAGTGCTGACAGCCTAAGCCCAAGTTTATGAAGCTTCAGGCCAAAGGGGAGGCCCTCAGCTCCCGGGCTGCATCACGAGGTGAGCAGCTCTGCCTCCGCTGAACCAGAGCCCAGATTTCACTATTTTTCATCACCTTAACATTTACATTGAGAGCCTGGGGAGAGGGATCTATGGGACCCAGAACATTAACCTTTGCTATAGCAAGTCTTTGCTCTCTTCAAGAGCCCATCATGCCTGCCTGGAAAGGTCAAAATATGGGAGGAGCTGAGAGCAGTGAAATCCCAGGAAATCCTAGAGCTCTCAGGCGCTGTAGCCACCATCTAAATCCACTCTCATTTTATGCATGAATAAACTCAGGCTGAGGAAAAGTGGGGAATTTTGCAGAGTCGCATTGCTAGATGGCCCATGAACTGTGACTGGAGTCCACATTACCAGACTCTGTTCATTCACTATAATGAACAACCGTTGGTTACTATGTAGAGACCTCTGTGGCTGCGTAGGTCATATTGGGGAACAGGGCCCCCACCTCCCCTATGGAAGTGAGACAATCCTCAAACCCCTCTCACTACTTCCTAGAAGCAGGACTAAGCCAACAGGACGTTCCCATTCAGCCCACCTGTAATATCTCACCTGCCCATGGCTGCCATGATGGTCTGCCCTAGGAACAGAATACTCTGATCAGAGCCACGCATCCTAATGATAAATTTACCAGGTGACCAGATCACTCAGTGACCAGTTTGCATAATAAAGTTGAGGCCTTGTTTGAGTATGTTTGCATTCCTTCAACTGGCGCATTTTTTTTTTTGCTACATTTTTGGCATTTTTACAGATTAAAAAAATTCAATTTCCTCTAAGGGTTTTTTTCCCTCTCCGGCTAAATTTTGCATTTCTGATTAAATATTTATAAAATGTGTCGGCCTTTATAAACAATGAAATTGATCTTATTGCTGTGGGCATCTTCTGATAATATGTGAAGTATGAAAGTTGAGACTTTTTTGCAACTTTGTATAAAGACTCTTCCTTCTGGCGGGGCCTTCGGCGATCCCCGGATCTGACTCTGGCTTCAACCTGGTTTGGACGGAACAGACCAGGGATGCCCCTTCGTCCAGCCTCCAACCACCTTCCTGCCTCTTTTCCAGGGGCCACCTTCGGAAGCATCTTAGCCACCCGAGACCAGCCAACACTGCTTTTTGAGTTTAACTCCTTATTGCTGAGCAACCATGAGCTCCAACTCATCAGAATTATTCCCCCAAGGTGGAAGCCACCGTCAAGCACCTGGCCAACCTGCATCTGCGGGCCTCCCACACCTGCCCCTCTCTCTGCATTTCTATTTG